GACCAAGGGGACTTATAGTGCCTTTGCTACCTGCATGGACCCTAGTTGGATTTACACCATCCCTTCAGTCGCCGGCGATTGTAGAAAAAGTTTAGCCGAATTTTAAAGGAACAAATATACTAAGTTTATAAATCGGGTAAGCAAAAATTTAACTTTGAAAGTTTTGGGACTTACGTACCCCTCTAATTTTAAGATACTTTAACCCCCTTCGAGGATACAGCCACTAACAATCGCACAAATCAGTTGAAGTTAAGCAACTCTGATGGGATAATATGGTCACATGACTATTAACCTTCTTAACAGGCGGCTTGGGTTAACTGGGGTGATGAACTGATAAAATATTGTGTGTTGCTGAAACATACACACTGCTTGTTAATATGGACGGCATTTTGTATTGAAGTTCATTAATGACGTATTGGAGGTTGATGGTATTTTCACTAAAATCAGCTTGATTTTATCGTATTTCTACCACGGTAGACATAACATACGTTATTAGAAGGGAGAGAAAATAAAACCTAAAATTTAACAATTTAGTTTGACCTTCAAAAATACTTCTGAGAGTTCTTCTGCTTCTGTTTTCAACGAGCTGAACATTGCTATCTTTTCTGTCCAACATACAGCAGACGAACAGGCTCAGGTATAAAATATACGGGAGGTACTGTCAGCGCTATCTGACGTGGGTTCATTGTATATGTACTACACGAGATTATCACTGTCGATAACACGTCAGCATCTCGCGTTTAAAGGGAAGAGTTTTTTAAGCATTTGATTCACACCCGTCTTCTTATATCGTTGACGTTCTATTTTCACAATGAGTGAGTATTGTTTTACGCCGTAATTTTGGCAATATCAAGGCGGCCAGAAATGGGTTTCGCACGTTGTTCTGTTTTTGCCTTTGCTATTGACGGGTAAGCGGTCCCCTTCACGGTCTACAACTGAAATCGCCGATTGTGAGGTTACATTGATTTGGAAGAAGGTCCACATCGAATGGATAGCTTATGTGTCCTCAAAATAATATATGTGACATTTGGGAAAATACTATATCACCCCTTTTGCATCATCACCATCATCATCATCATCACCACCACCATCACCATCATTTTTATCTTCATCTTCCTCTTCATCATCATTTGGGGCGGTGGGGTAGCCTAATGGTTAAAGCGTTGGCTCGTCACGCCGAAGACCAGGGTTCGATTCCCCATATGGGTACAACGTGTGAAGCCCATTTCTGGTGCCCCCCGCCGTGATGTTGCTGGAATATTGCTAAAAGCGGCGTAAAACCAAACTCAGTCAGTCAGTCAGTCATCATCATTTATACTCAATATATTTCAAAAATTCTTAATCACATTTGTATATCCTTGATATTCAAAGAAAAATGGACAAGGATGTTTTATTCTGCTATGATACGAACATACGAAGAGGCATCTTTTTGAGAATGAACATAATCAGTTTTTCCGTTGAACCCGATTCCATTGGTCGTGAAAGGTAACAGCGGTGAAGATCATATGCATGGATCACTGGCCATCAGTACGGCACCAGGTGTCCGCATGTTATAAAGTGTTATCCAATAAGAATAATGGCGATACCACATGTGTAAGGATGATGTTTTAACGTGGGTGGGTCCCTGGATGCATATAATCGATCACCACTTGCGACCCAAACTCGGAATTACTGACCTAGCGAAAGTATATACAAACGCTTGTGACGTGTATGAGTGTTCCATCAGCAGAAGCTTGACATGCATTTGAACCCGTTATCATCAATTCGGTTATCTTTAGATGCGGTATCACGCCTCCCTCCCTCCCCGGTTCAGCATGCCCCGGGCTGTCCCCTCTGACTGATGCCTCTGGCGTATTTCCAAGATCAACTTCTCCAAACACAGTCCCCCACACGCCCATCCTACACACACCCCACCCCACACACGCACTCCTCTCTCCAGTACTTCAACCTTCAGTAGACAGCAGTGAGGACCCTTGCGTTGGTAGACGACGACGGAATACTACAAACGACTTTCCCTTGCAGGAATATTGATTATTAGCACATTGTATATTTCACGAGAGACCCTTTCCTATCAATACACCAACTATTATCATATAAAATCAAAAAATGATAAAATGATACAGATTATCAGTTGTTATCAATTTTAAAAAATGAATCATTTAAATTTGAAAATGTTTACATTTTTGTTGGTTTACTTTGGTGGGAGTTGGGGGAGGAGATTGATGCATGTATGAGCCAGTTAGCACTCAGGGGGGATAGAAGGGGGGATAGGCCTATCCTCTTGAACAGGCTCACAGGCAATCTCCGCGTATGAAACATCTCTAACACAACATTTGATGACTCACCATGAATGGCCCCCCAAACACACTGTCCCTTAGACTAACAACTAGGCTCTAAAATGAACATATTTTACAGAAACATAAGTTCATACTAAAAACATAAAATATAATGAAAAGACTTATATTACGTTGTAGAAATTTAGACATTTTCTAGACTTGCGTGGGCTTTCTTGGATATATTTGCTTGAGGGTCTGCATGACAGACTAACTGTCCCTTATTCTACTCAAACGTTAACGAGTTGGGTTTTACACCGTATCGAACATTCAGTTATTTCATAATGCTTACAATAATGTCAAAAGAACATCGAAGCGGGTTTCACATGTATACCACTTAGTGAAACCCAAGGGCGCAAGTTTGGAGCAGACAAATATACAAACATGATAAGCAATATAGGATTTGAACCGATCACAGGTTTCTGTTATTTTAATAAGTTTTGTTAAATGTAACACAGTGAGTCCCGTACATTTCCTCGTGTTGTCATCGTATCCCAGCTGCGTAGATCGATACTCATGCTGTGAGACATGATTATTTAACGATCGCCACCAATGGCTGGAATATTGCCCTGTGCGACGATGAACAACAACAAACAGAATCCTCGTCTAAGTCTCCTATAGTCCGTTTGGCTCAAAAGCGGACCGATGAATTGCAATCTAACTCGAAAACTAATAAACATAACATACTCAATGAAACGCTGATCATAATCAAAACATCATACCCACTCTGTGAGGTTTTTGCAGAATTTTTGTCCTAAATAAAAAATTTGTTTAACAATCTATCATTAAAATATTGACACAGTTCACTGTTTGTTACGAGGGAGGAGTGCAGAGAAAGGGACAGCCAGGTATTCGAGAACGGATGGAGACGGCACAGCACAGGTTAATGAATAAATAACTTTGTCTGTGAACGTGCTTCTCGAACACCTGGCTGTCCCTTTCTCTGCACTCCTCCCTCGTAACAAACAGTGAACTGTGTCAATATTTTAATGATAGTTTGTTAAACAACTTTTTTATTTTTAGGACAAAAATTCTGCAAAAACCTCACAGAGTGGGTATGATGTTTTGATTATGATCAGCGTTTCATTGAGTATGTTTTGTTTATTAGTTTTCGAGTTAGATTCAATTCATCGGTCCGCTTTTGAGCCAAACGGACTGTAGACCCCTCGTGATCGCATTGTTATCCCTTGCAGGTTCCGATCACTACATTAACAAACTTATCCCATATATAGTAGACATACTAACCAAATAATGTAGATTGGACGTGTTTCACCTTACATGTGCCATCAACAAAGAGTTAGGGAGGCTCTGAAGATGTACTTCACAGAGACCCCTAGACTAACGCTTAGTCTCTGAATATATATAATTTTAACAAATAAACCCATTTTAATTGAAAAGGAGTCCCAGGGAGACGAAAGATTACCCGAGGAAAGATAGATTTGCTTCATTTAGGGATTTAACATTGCAGGGAGGGCTAGCCTATAGGGACTAATATGGTTCGGGGACTGTGAGATAGACTAAGAGACCCCTGATGTACGGAGATGGTCCATCGACGCGGCGCAAAGCAACATTCATTCACACATCGTGCATCTCTACTTGGTGGTAATATTACGCAAATGTCAACATTTTTACCTTTTTACTTTTTGCACCTTTTCATTGTTTATATATACGTGTGGTTCTGAGGATTGTGTGTGACATGCACGTTATTTGTTCCTTATACAAAATACAATGGCATCCCACAAGGCATTGATGTCATAATGACGTCAAATGTAATGAACTTATGTAGCATGATGACGTGAAACGGTTTCATTCATGATGTGTGCCTCCTTCATACAATTTCACCTTTAAAGATACATTTTTATGGAATCTAAACACAACTTGCTCTAGGCAGGAGGGGAAAGGTCACTCTCCGAGTTGATGGATTGAATATGTGGATCTTTATGACAGGTGTCACGGTTTGAGTTCTTATAAATCTCAACTATGTCACGCTGTCACGTTGTTCAACAGCGCATAAAGGTGCTCCCCTTTCCCTTTACCACCTATTATGTTTTACCTTCTTCTGTCTCACCTCACAAATCTCTATTTCTATCCAATACACATTCTATTCTTATGACTGTCCCCAATCGATCCTTCCTCTACAGTTTAGCTGTGCGCTTAAATGTTGATTTTACATTACAGTGTGCACTCAGCTGAGACATATTCGATAATATAACAAAACAGCTTTTCTGTATAAATAAAGTCAACATATGCTTGGGTATCGACATTGCACAGCTGAACAAACCAACCAAAAATGTTATACATGATGATGTGTCACCATGTGTAAGTCGAGAACATAAACTCAAAATATATGATCAAATCAACATTCATTATTACGAAAACATTTCAGACTAAATACCAAATCTGATTTTTGCCATAATCATATAACCAAATATTACTGGTCACTTACTCATATGTACAACCCAAGGATAACAACCCCTTGCTCACTATACACTGACAGCTATAAATAAATACGATTAACACATCAGGGCAAACGTAAACTGTGACTGGGTTCAAAAAGATCCCAAACACAACAAAACGCAAAACTCTCGCCCCTTACAACGCGGAAGCAACAGGTAGAACAAAACGCTCTCACGAGCATGTGAACATAAAGTAAACAAAACCACTTACCGCATAGTATTACAACGAGCAGGGCAGTTGTAACCATAATGAACACAGAACACGTGTAATATCTCCTCATCTGTATCACTTCGTTATATTCCGATTCCTCAAGATTTAAATTTCTCCTAGGCCCCCAGTTCCGGAACCTACTGCCGTCCATCGCCGCTAGCTGACGCTAGCAAACTACACCTAGATCTGAATCCCATCCTGGCGATTCTTCTAGGCTGATATATGGCACGGCCTGCTGTTTGTCACCTTCGGAAAAAGAACGCCTCTGAACTTGCACTTAGGAACCGCTTTATCTGAAATAGAAAAATTGTTGTCCATCAGATAATTGAAACAAATCTTTATAAGTCACGGTACAATTTTCTAAATTTGTTTAAAAATTCTCCAGAGAGTCCGCCCTCTGATAAGATTTACAAAGCGTCGGAAAGTTAGTTACCAAACTAACTGGGAATTCAGTTTTCAAATAAGCGAGTTTGAAGTCTTTGGGACTGAAGTAACAATGGCACGCTTTGATAGCCGCTGGCTAAAAATATCAGTGGACCGACCGATCTCTTAAGCATACGAGGACGATATTTGATATGACAGATCCCGATACCAAAGGCAACTAACACGTTACGACTTCAAGTAGACGTTGATGATGCAGATGTACTTGCAGCGGCAAGACGGTTTTACAGACTTCTGACAACGCGCCAGTGGTTTTGTACGTTCTTGACTCTGTCAGGTGTTTGGAACAGCATCTTGAAAGAACCTAGCATAACGGTTTATAGACCTCTACCAGAGAGGTCAACCAAAAAGACAGGGAAACGTGATATCGATCGGTTTGCTTTTATTATAGCTGTTTCTGGATTGGAAGGCGATATCACATCCAGTATTACTCCTTTCAGAGATAACATAAGAAGGTAATCAAGACTATAGTGATAATCAATATGGACGCATATACGTGGAATACGAACATGCGTTAAATGTCCCCATTTTGATAAGAGTTATTTCTGTCAATGCTCCAACAATGTCATCATATTTCATTCACGTATTCATTCATTCATGCATTCATTCATTGAAAATTGGTTATTGTTTACTTCTTATTCATAAACTTCTGATATGTATGTTGAAACAAGGAGACAAGTTGTGTACATACATATATATATATATATATATATATATATATATATATATATATATATATAGTACTCACACACACATTAATTTATATATAAACAAGTGCTTTCTCCAGGTTCATAGACAATAAATATATGAAGGATGAGATGAGATATTTCTCCTTGTCATACACACACACACACACACACACACACACACATATATATGTTTTTGAGAACCGAGGTAATAATAGTTTCCACGGTAAACACGGCTTCAAATACCTTGTTGAACGCCGGCAACTCAAGCTATAACCATACACTGCCTCGGGGGTGAGAGATAGGCGTAGCCAAATTGCTACATCAAGACGAACCCCAGTACACACAATGGCAACATTGTACATGCTCCTGTATGTCACCTTGAGAAAAACATTGCACAAGGGCTTACCTTGCAGCACTGCAATGATGACTCAGTGTCTCGTGATGAGCAAGCGTACACATCACCACGAAACACACCCCTGGCATCTGATGTTGAGGACATGGGCTGCTACTGCAGGTCTACCTTCTGATCTTTGATGTACTTCTGACTCCAACCCTCTCGGTAATGTTTTACACTAAGTAGTTGGACGTTAGATCATCGGAGGCAGGCAAACGAATCCAAGATTGTCTGTTTCAGATTATTGCATTTGTCTTGGGAAGAGCAAACGTTTAGTATTACCCTGTCTGATTGCTTTCATAAGGTTAAGTCTTCATTTGGAAACACAAAGTGGTTTTGAATTTAAGTGTTTTATTCTCCTAACAGTGTCCGATAAATTTTATTTCAGTGGGGCAGTGAAGTAGTTTAGTTTAGGGGCTAGAGTGTTCACACGTCAGAATGAAGGTCCGGGTTCGATTGCCCGGACATGTTGCTCGAATATTTCTGCTAAATAAATGAGACGAAATCATCTCCATATTCATAAGAAATGTCTACTCGTGTACCGGAATATTGCTTTTATGTCAAGAGAACCTGGTGTCATCACTGAGTTTCGGTGGAAAATGAAGACTGGGTATTCTCTGGCGTTGACGTCTTATACGAGGGGCGTCCCAAAAGTAGTCGGCCTAACTATATTCTCTATGTCCAAAGTTAGAAAAGCCTCCATTTTATTTTGATGGAATCATTAGCAAAGCCATATCCCAAATTTCACATATGTGGGTAATGTGGTTAACGAGATATTAGTCATCAGAACACATTGTGGTTTGTATTTCTTTAAAAATTGCAGAAAGTGAAATACGATCTGTCATTTTGTACGTCTTGGATAATGGTATGCAGTATGCACTCAGATAATATCATATAAAATGTGTTCAGTATAGTGTTGGTCACTTTAACAAGCGATTGTAGTTTCAAATTGCATTTTTATGCACTTTAATATCGACGTTTGATTCTAGAGGACTTCTGCCTATCTCAAACACACAAAATGTTTCTTGCATATTTTGTTTCCTGAAGTTTGTGATACATTTATTGCAGATTTTGCGGTTTTGGGGGTACCAAGATAAAGAGCCTAACAAAATGGGGATCGTGAGGCTGGAACATTGCAAAAGCAATTTGCTTGAGGTTGACACATAATGGGTAGACAAATAAAACATAAAAACGGCTGCATTTGTATAATTTTATATTTGAGGCCAACTACTTTTGGGACGCCCCTCGTATTTAAAGACAAAGTAAACCATGTCCACACAAGCATCCTTTGATCCCTGGATTCCCAGTCATTTCGGGATGGATGTATGTCCAATCATGTTTTCCATAAGTGTGAACTAAGATCATTCAAATAGCGTGGACAGGCTAATTGTGCGCAATCGTGACCTCACGATGCAGGTCGCTGTTCATATTGTTAACCACTGGCTTTGCTTGTCCTTCCTCATGACGTCACTTCCGTGTGATGTTTTTGCCTATTGATGCGGTAAAAAATGTTTACTGGTCCACACAAATGCGAATTTGATGTGAATGCTGAAACTGTCAATGATATATGTTCAAAGTGTTGGTACGGTGGGGTAATTCACACATCCTCATCGATGATATATTTGACACTAAACGTATCTACAACACTGTCCATCACGTTCAATCATAGATTGCTTTAAATGTTGGTGGGGTATGGCCACAAGATATCTTGCCGACAATTCATAAATTCACGGGCCTTTGAAAATATAAGTCAATGAATTACTTAGACAAAAGGAATGTTTTGTACATTAGACCTAACAAAATACTTAAAAACCGAAACTGTTTGATTTCTGGAATTTCATGGACTGAAGTACTTCGAAGTCACATGTACATCATTTAGCAGAGAATTACGTGAATTAAGTAACGTTAATAGCAATTGCTGTGAATCTGTTCGTCCGTGTGATCTCATTGTAATCTTTGTCTTTACCGTTCAAGGTAACCCAACACTGATAAACATAAGAGAATGGTTCGAGTGAGTTAGCGAGTGAGTGAGGATTTTACGCAGCATTACGCAGCAACACTTGAGCAATATCACGGCGGAGGACCTAGAAATGGTCTCCCATGTGGGGAATATAAACCCACGTCTCCGGGTGCATAATATGTTTGAACATAGGCTAACGTTTCTGTTTCATAGTAAGATAGAGAGTATAACGCGGCTATTTAAGGGCATGATAAAGGCCTTAGACATGTCCACTTTGGTGCAACCCACACAGGTATGGGTATTTCCTTAGTGCTGCATCACGAGGGTGGGCCAGAAAGCAATGGACTCGAATCACAAACTCGTCGAAGTTTCAAGGTTTGTTAGTACCGTCAGGATCATACCTGACAGTACTTCCCCAAAACTAACTTGTAAACTAATTCCCCCCAAATCACAGTGAAATTTTTTAAAAATAGTGTTGAAGGATCGTTAAACATAAAGGGTTAAATTCATATACAGTCATATGAAATCTCTGCAAAAAGCAGTCCGTTATGCCAATCCGATTTTATCATGAGTCTATGAGTCGCTAACACATAGTTACCATACCAGGTTTTCCCACGAAGGTGACTGTATTCAGCCCCACCGCTTGCACCCGTCAAAAACACGTGAAAAGGCAAGTCAATTCTTCAGCTGAAAACCACGGGACCATAGTACAAGTAGTATCACCTGCAGCATACAGTATATCAAGTGCAATGTGCCGTGTATCACATGCTATACTTGATATTCTGTACACTGCATATGATAGTAGAGCTAGGTAACGGACACCGTTCTTGTCTCATGCGTTAAATTTGAGGTGAGGTGAGGTGAAATTGGGTTTTACGTCGTGCTTGAGAATATTTCGCTCATATGACGACGTGCATGCGTGTGTGTGTGTATGTGCGGCTGTTTGTACTAGCCCAGACTGGAGCTGGTTTTATAGTGCTAGCCCACTGAGATACCATGCCGCAGTGAAGCATGAATACCCCACTCAGACACATTATACTGACTCCGAGCCGACCAGTCCTTGTTGTACCCATTAATGCCGAGCGCCAGGCAGGGACCAACAAGTACCATATTTTAACGTCTTTTGGTATGACGCGGTCGGGGATCGAACCCGCGACCTTCCGCTTTCCGGACGGACGCTCTAACCACAACACCACGGAGGCGGTCCGTTAAATTTGAAATAAAGGAATTATTGACAAAGTGAAAGTATTATCTATTATATTGTTAGCGTCTCCTTTAGGGATCTTTGCATCGTATAAACAAACACATGTCCCTGAAAACGCCCGCATTTTTAACTCCATTGTCATTTAATATTCTGAAACAAGTTCATGGATTAAACCATCACGTCAATTTCACATTCGCCTCATTTATTTACTACGCATTTAGTTAAAAAACCCACATGTAACCTCTTCACATCCAATACACAGCTCCGTCACAAAACAAAAAATATAATTTACATAATTATACAACTGACTCCCAGTTGAGACAAAAACGACTAGATGTCGACCTCACCACCCACCCCTGCATCACGCATATGACAGGGACATAAAAGGATTCTTAATGGCATTACTGTGTCAAAAGGTAAAATTGTTGTTATTAAATCAGTGTGTTCTTACTGAAGGCGAATTGAA